GTTTGTTTCCTTTGAAAATAAAAGGGATAAGAAAACACGACATTCAGTTTAAAAGCAAATCTTGTAAATGAAAAAGTGTGTTGTCGATTAAAGTAACAAACAAAAGGACAGTTTCGCAAAAAAAAAAAATCAAAAGAAATAGTAATGTGAGATTTTGTTATGAAGACATAATTATCCCATGTATATCGATACTAACATTCTTGGCACTAAACATTTATTTGTACATATTAGTTTTAAACACAGATTTTAGTAAGTAATTTCTTTCCTGATGGCTGATCAGAGGATTTCACCTGTTAATTGATCTTAATCTGTGATATTGTATTAAAAACCAATAAAAATATTCGTACTAGTAAATATTAATTTTGACACCTGTATTGTATGTCTCTTTTCAAAAGATTTGATGTAAACTACATCTACATGTTGATTGGAATACCACCGATGAGTTGTCATAAATCACGCATGTTGAGGCTGGGGTTGATTAACGACCAGCTGTTTATGAAGTCAATCAAGCTGTGATTAATTTCCGCTCTAGATAAGCAGATTGAGTACTCAGTAGCAATAATATAATGTTAAAAAAAATTTTGGTCACCTAGACTAGAAGGGGGAGGGGGGGCACCTGCCCTCTGTGCCATCCGGTAAATCCGCCACTGTTGTATCATAAAACAAAATGTTCATCAGTGAAATCTTAGAAACTGTACTGATTGCAATTAAATTATAAAAAAATAATATAATTTTACCAACCTGTTTAGCTTCCGGAACTATTGATATGGAGATTATGATCGAGTCTCAGTGTATGTGGCTGTGTATAGGTACATGTATGCACTTTGCAAAATGATTTGCAGAGTGAAATAGTATAACTTTGACATTACAATAGACATCAATATCTTGTCAAATTCGACACTTGTCACGGAATATGCTAATTAAGGAAATGTACTATACTTGTAATAACCTTAGAATGGTACTGCTTTTATTAAACAGGCATTCTTTTTTCACAATTACATAACGTAGTACTAGTATTCTAATATAATGTTTGATAACAAAAAATGGTTACTCGGCAACTTAACATATTGACATTTCTAAATATTTTATAATATTATCTTAATTACAGACTTGATAAATGTTTGTACAAAAACGATTCCTATTTCATATTCTACATATTGACTTTATTACAAATGCAACGACTTTGGATCACAGTTTTATAATGAAATCACTGGTAAACAAATACTGCCACAGGGAACAGGTACACCCTATACTTGTTTTGTAAACTTCCATAAATCGTTTGACAGTTTAATTCATGTAGGTCTAAAACTGAACGTATTAATAAAGAAGTTTTCTTGGTACTCTATTTTATTATATCAGATAAGTAAATGTATTTCATTAGTAAAGCATGCCAGTTTCTCTGTCTTATTCTTCGAGCATTCATTAAGGTGTAAGACAAGGGGACATTCCGAGCCCTGCTGGGTTTAAATTACTAGTATCGATAAATAACTGTCCGTGTTATGTTGACTCTTGCTTCCATACAGTTTCCTTCAACTAGTTTCTGATTTGTTGAAAGTCATGTGTTTTGTATGTCTACAACACGTGTTCTTGATTGGTAATCATCATTAATTACCATAGCAACTACATGTAGTATGCATTCGATTTAAAATACACATACATGTAGCATACATAGAATAGCACTAGTTACATTCTAGTGTGAACCAAGAGGCATATTACAACATGTCAGATCTTTAATTTTTGTGCACGAAATATGAAATTTCACAAATCTCAAATTATTTGAACTATTTAATTGTATATATGTATACATAGAAGGATACTAAGGTTTGATAAAACAAGTTGAAATGTAACTTATCCTTACAAAAACTACAGATTTAAATATTAATTATCTTCTAGAAATTGCCCCCAAGGGTGACTGGGGAATAGAAGTATGGTCACCATTGGTCTTCCTCCGACCGGCAGTAAAACCCGTGCTAAAGTGGGGCGTCCGTTTGGCTGTGCGGGATGTACAAATTTGCAGCCACGTCCGGTCAGAATGGGGACGTTAAATCCGATGCCTCGTGTAAAGAGAGTGCCACGCTCTTTGCACGTTAAGAACCCTTGCAACAACTCTTAGAGGGGTCCGTAGGTGACCTGGTGTAAGGCTAAATTTCTGTCCCTATCCAATATACCCTCATTTCCCGTGGCAGTCTAAATTTCTCCGACCATAATTCCTTAATCTATTACAAAACCTACCTATTGTATTTATTGTGAACTTGTTCTCGTCCTGAATATGCATGAAATATTTGCCACTGGACGTTAAGCAACCAACAATCAATCAATCAATCTTCTAGAAATTAGAGAGTAACGTCCACATTCTTTAGCTAAATTGTGAATTCTTAGTCTTATTTAAGTGATATATGTTTTATGAACAACTGATATTGGTTATCTTTCATCATATGTTAACGTTTACAAATTCAAAAAGTCTGAGAACAAAAAATTTAAATTTTCACTTTTGGCGAATTTCCACAATAATGAACTACATGTAGTTTAAACAAAAGTTATTGAAAAGAAAATAAGATTTACAGTTTTGCTTGATATCACAAGCTTTTATAGCAATCACGGTCACAGGCGCTTGGGTATATGATACAGATATTTTTTTTTTGTTATTGTTGTTGATTAAAATATTCAATTTTCTATATTTATACTACATATCTATCACTACTGCGCATGTCTCACCTAGTTTCGAGTGATTTTACCAACTCTGAGACAACCCCAATTTTACTATCCACACTAAGAAACAAAAAGGCAACTAACTCGACGCCATCTTGCGTGCTGTGTAAATAATAAAATTGACCTACCTGGATTCCCCATCCATTTTTATGGAAAACGTGCCTTTCTCGCAGTCCGATCGCAGACGTCGTTTCTATTTATTAAATTGGTATTGTTCGTAACATTTTTAGTCCATCTGAAGCATATAATAAAAAGATTTTTACTATTTTCACTACTTTCACATTTACGAGCCCTGAAGTTTACTGTTAATATTCAGGGGAACTTTTGTTAAAGGGAAGTAATTTTTCCTGGACTTTTTCGGAACATCTCTGCAAGTACACATGAAACAAATAAAGCGATACGATGATTTCCGAACTATTACCAAAAAGGCGCAACTTTTTCATTGCTGAAAAAAGAAAAGATCTGTTTTAGAAAAAAATCGGGTTTTCTGATGTTGTCCTTCACTTTAACAAATCTTTCATCAGTGAGAATCAAATGCAACAGCTCATCGTTCTGGTACCTGCCGTCTTCTAATCCTGCCCATTTATGTAATGTGCATGCATGTTCATCCTCGAATACCGACGTTGCTATACCTGTTGAACATGTCAATGCAATCATTTTACCTGTGCTTCTTAGGTGTTTGACTGCCGTCTTTATAACATAAGACTTTCCTGTCCCTGCTTGACCCGTCAAAAGTAGATTATGACCACTTACAATCAAATTAAAATTTGGAAATGTTGTCCTCATTTGTTTTCACTTCAGTGAACACGACCCATGTTTTTTAATAAACTATAAGTTTCTAAATTTATTGATAAAAAAGTTTTAGAAGGAAAGGGGAAGTGAAAAAAAGTTTGGGTAGTTAAAAAAATTAAATATTGAAAAATGGTCAGTGTAGACCTCTAAAGAACAACAAATATTCTGTGTGTTGGAGCAAAATTAAAAAAAAGACTATAACATTTTGGTGGCAAGAAAATATTAGTATATATTTCCTCGCTCCCCCCCACCCCCCAAAAAAATTTAAAAAAATTATCAGATCAAATAATCCATGGCTTATTTTTTTCATTTTTTTCATAAGACAATTTTGTGTGAGCATTTGTATATTCATAAATTACCATGAAACTATGTTTTTCTTCGTAATTTCCTTCTTTGGTTGACTTGCAATTATTTCTAAAACAGATATTTTCTTTTTTCAGCATTGAAAAAGTTGCGCCTTTTTGATAATAGTTCGGAAATCAACATATCACTTTATTTGTTTCATGTGTATTTGCAGAGATGTTCCGAAAAAGTCCGGGAAAAAATTACTTCCCTTTTACAAATGTTCGGGTAAAAGTAACTTCCCCTGAATATTAACAGTAAACTTCAGGGCTGGTAAATGTGAAAGTAGTGAAAATAGTCAAAATCTTTTTATTATATGCTTCAGATGGACTAAAAATGTTACGGACAATACCAATTTGATAAATAGAAACGACGTCTGGGATCGGACTGCGAGAAAGGCACGTTTTCCATAAAAATCGAAAGGGAATCCAGGTAGGTCAATTTTATTATTTATTTATAGCATGAAGATAACGTCGAGTTAGATGCCTTGTTTGTTGCTTAGTGTGGATAGTAAAATGGGGGTTGTCTCAAAGTTGGTAAAATCACAATATAGAAAATTAAATATTTTAATCAACAACAAAAAAATCCAAAACAAATATCTGTATCATATACCCAAGCGCCTGTGATCACGTTAACATATTCTACCAAATGAAAACATAACTGATACTGTAATCTCTTTCCCCTTTTTGTCTTAAATTTTGAAATATATTGATAATGCATATATAATCCTTATACCTGTCCCACACCAAACGTTGCCTACAATGTAGTTTAGAAGTCCCCGGGACCTCTTTTTTTGCATTTGAAATGCACGACGTTACTATCGTAGTGGTAATTATTTGATATAAATTGTATTATCAAATTTTTCTGTAATTTGTACTCGGTAAAAAAAATCTAATTAAAATAATGAATCCTACGGAGGGCTAGCCAGCTATACAACCAGGTTTAATCTACCATTTTCTACACAAGAAAATGCCCGTACCAAGGCAGAAATATGACAGTTGTTGTATCTATTCGTTTGATGTGTTTGAGATTTTGATTTAAGCATTTGCTTGGGGACTTTCCGTTTAGAATTTTCCTCGGAGTTCTGTATTTTTGTTTTTTTTAATTTTCCCATTAACAAGAGAACTACACACGAGAAGAAATGGTATTATAGAGAATAAACTGCAAATATTTTAATAAATTTGCACATATATTTAGCGATTTAACTACGAAAACTGCTGAAGACTTGAAATCATGTCACTTTTTGTTATGACTAAGGTTTTATACTATTGTTTCTTATGGAAAGCTTTTCACGATTGATCTTTTTAACACGGTTTTCGAAATTCCGGATATCCTGCATACTTGAATAGAACGTATTGAAATTTGTTGCAATAATGGCTATTGGCATTGCAATTATTATAACTCCACAAACGGCACAGCATGCCCCAACACATTTTCCAAGAACTGACTTTGGGTAATGGTCCCCGTAACCTACAGTCGTCATGGTTATAACAGACCACCATACTCCCTCGAAGGATGACGGGAAGGTTGTCGACTCTGACATTTCGGCGAAAAATATTATGTTAGCGAAAAACACTGCTAACATTAAAATTGTTAAAAACAACAGAACCAATTCTTTGATGCTCTCTCTTATAGTGGTAAGCAGTATATTAAGTCCATCAAATTGCTTCGAAAGACGCGTTATTCGAAACATACGGAATGATATTGATGCAAAACATAACTGGTTTATTGCAAGTAATGTTCTGTTTTTTAACAAAATTGTAAAACCAAACTCTCGGACGACGAATCTAATCCACATTGAAACATCCAATACGACATCAAGTATATTTAACCAATTCTTTAGGAATATTTTTTTTGACGGAGAAGCTGCAAATCTTGTACAAAATTCAAGTGTGAAAAAAACAAGCAGGCAGTCATCAACTATATACCACCAAAGTTCCACTTCCGTCGTTAGAAAAAATACAGCCTTTGGGTTATTCATATCTCTCAAAAGGCCAATATTCTGCATCAAGGTAACATTGATCGTATTTTCCACGGGAATTCTAAAATCTGGACTGGTAAACAGTAGTTCAATAAAAACAGACAGGATCACGATCAGACAGTACGCAAAATTGTAGCACTGAAAAAAATAACCCGAATATTGCTTGAAATATCATGTATGAAATTAAAAAAAAAACAAAACTTAAGGACCAATCAATCGATCAATCTTAACAATCAATCTAAACTAAATGTTCAACTCCATCCTAATTTGTGTATATACTTGTCCAAATACAGAAAGACTACCAATGGTTGTTGTGGACTTTCATATGTGCTGTAATTAAAATATGATTGAATCATATAACAAGGTGTATATACGGCATTCAAAACGATCTATTGAAATATTTTACGTTAAAAACATACACTTCATGTAAAAACATTATGAAATCACTCAAACTATAATTCTAAAGTACATACGTTACTTTCTTTCCACACCGTTCGCACAAACTAATCAGAGATTTTTATCACGTGTATCGATAAATAAAATAGTATACATGATAAGCGGAGATTTCTATCAAGTGTATCGATAAATAAAATAGTATATATGATCGAGACAGCAACCCACTGACACGTTTAATAAATGTAGCAGCATACAACGTAAAGACGGGGAGAGTTGTAATGTATCAACATAACACTAGAGACATGCACTGTAAAATATCTTATCAAATGCACTGTAAAATATCTGATCAAAAGGAGATGAGGGATATACGTCAATAGCACAACTTTCACAGGAGTTGACTTTTCTGGAGTACTTGAGTTCAACTTCGATTAGTTTGGGGGAACCTGTTGATAAATCTTTAATGTTATGAGTTTTGAGGACTGCTGTTTGTTTCTATCCTTTTTTTCAATTATTTTTTCGTTGACCGTTTTTGTCTTGAACATTAAGCTACTTTTTACAGCATTGGTATAATTTCTCCTGTTTAAATGAAAGGACGCTAAAAAAATATGAATACTATAACAGCCTATATCATGTGTATTGTGATTTGACCGGAGCTGTGATGAATTTGAATCATATACTTTTAAGATGTGTCTTTACCTTGGCTGGTGTCGATGACAATGGTTCATCAACAAATAACCATATCTTCCGCTGTATTCCATTTGCACATTCATTACTTCCATCGAAAGCTGAAGGAATTTCTGTTGATATTTTCAGTTTCTGGATTGTCTTTAAATCGGTTTCTTTCTTTATTATTGCTGACCGACAGCATTCTGGAATATCGCTGTATGGAATCTCCCAGTAGTCAAACTCTTTTTGTATTAACTGACTGCAGCAGTTGGCTGGCAAATGAATCTCATCATTTCTATAAAAATCTAAGATACGACAAAACAAATCCGGACTGCGGTCGAAAAAATATAAATGTTTGTCAACAACATATTCCTGTGATGAAGTAGTCAATCTCCCGAGACGTGTTTCGGGGTACTTTTTTAGAGTTGACATGCTTGTCAAAAACGTAGTTCCCCCAACATTTAGTGTCATTAAATTATCCATGACCGTTGATTTATTTTTCTATATGTGTTCCAATGTAATGAGAAACGAAATGAATCTGTCGTAACCTGACAATAATTTACTAAATTCTTCAGTGTATGATATTTCAATAAAATCCGAATATTCCCATGGGCAAACCATTATATTGTATCTTTTGTCAATTTTCAAGCTGTTAAATTAAACATTACTAGCAACAACAAAATAAATGATCGAAAACACGTACTAGGCTTATCAATAAACAAATGGTTACTTGACCTGCGCCAGGATTATGTAGAACATTGCGTTATTGTTTATTATGTTTAACCGTTAGATGAAATCAATTTTATGATTTATAAATCAACAAAATATTAATGAAAATATTTCATCCTCTAAAGGATAGAACAAAACAGATAATTGTCATGGGTATTTTATGTAACTGAATTTTCTGTTTTATATCCCATTTCAAGCAAATTCATTATTTGAATAGATTCGTATTGCTTGACGTGTAGTTATAAATATCGCATGCTTATTTAGAGAGAAAAATACCGAACTCTAGGTAAATTCAAAAAGGGGGAAGTCCATAGAAACTGATAAGGTCAATTGTTACACTATATAAACCAACGTAACGAGTGGAAAACAACTGTCATTTCCCGAAGAAAATTTTTCGCTATACCTTGTTTTATAGATACATGTATATGTAGCTAAACCTCCCACTTCTATGACAGTTTTTTATATAGTGTTCAAAAAATGAAACGCATAGCTCGGATGAATTTTTCAAAAATGCAAACTATATATTTTACAAGGTAAAATGAAACGGTCAATTGCATCTTCGAATTTTTAGAGGTACGTTTTAACCTTTAAATGCTTGTTCTTTTGATTTGGCTCTCTGCCTTATGAAATTTGCGACTCGCTAAAAGTGCATATGACCTTTTTTGCCGCAAAATTTTGCTAACGTTGTTTATGAGAATTTTGTGGTCAACTCAACTGTTACACTTTTGCGCATACAAGGACCATGTTTGAAGATCTAATTCATCACAACGTTAAAACGCTGTCCTGCCAATGTTGGACCTTGCTATTCGAAATATCTTCATCGGCCGTCTCCAGGCCGGAGTGTCCCAAAATGAAGTAGCAATAACTGAAAATGTTAACCAGAGCACAATTTCGCGACTTTGGAACAGATACCAGCAGACTGGCTGTACTAAGGACCGACCGAGGAGTGGACGACGACCTCGTCTAACTACTCCTGGACAAGATCGCTACATCCAGGTATTTAATCTACGGAATCGAACCGTTGCCGCAACAGCCACTTCAGTTGGGATACAAGGATTTAGAAGAATCAGCTCACAAACAGTCCGCAATCGACTGTGACAACATGGCATTCGACCTAGGAGGCCGTTACACAGACGGACTAGAGTCAGATGGTGCAACAGATTGAGGGGCTGGACATTCCGCAACTGGCGCAGAATCTGGTTCACTGATGAGTCCCGTTTTATGCTTTAGAAACGTGATGGAAGAACTCGTGTCTACCCGCGCATGAATGAACGTTTTGCTTCCTGGTGTGTCCAAGAAATGGACAGCTTCGGTTGAGGAAGTGTCATGATGTGGGCGGCTATCTCTAATGACCGTAAAACGGAATTGGTACATGTTCCGGGTAATTTAACAGCAGGGAACTCTCCAATCTGACCTTATGCATGTTATTGACCGACAAAGGTAGTTATTCCAGCAGGACAATGCTAGGTCTCACACAGCGCGTTTAACAATGGACTACCTTGAGCAGAATAACATCAATGTGCTACCTTGGCCTTTTAAATCACCGGACTTGAATCCTATTGAGCATCTATGTGACCAACTGGATACACGTGTGCGTAAGCGTCAACCCCCGCCTCAGACTCTTGATCAGCTCCGACAAATGTTGCAACAGGAATGGCGAGCAATTCCACGCAACAACATTAGAACATTGATAGCATCCATGCCGAGGAGATGCGTAGCAGTCTTATCAACGAGAGGTGATAATACACGGTACTAACTTTAATGGCACCGGAAGTAAATCTAATTGTGATAAATTGACTTTTATTCATCAAACTCGAAGGAATTTACTGTCCTCTTCTCAATGAAACACGTTTTGAGTGAATATCTCTATTAGTAATTGTAAAATTTCCATTCAAAATACATGTCTTAAAATTCTTAAAATATTATAATGAGTTTCTTTATTTGCAGAGTATAGTTCCCGCGTTATAATAGCAAATTAGTTGAGCAACATAAACAGACATAATTGGTCGGAGTTAACATAAATTCTTTGCAAATGTGTTTGACCAGAATGAAGAATAGGTACTATGCGCTGCAACTGAAAAAGAATAAAAAGGTAAAATGGAAAGTTGGAAAGTTGTCTTCAAACAGGCCGACTTTGAACATCCAAAGTTTTTACAAGTCAGAGAGTGTTGGACTCTTTTTTAATGAGTCTTTTGATTTCACGTTCCCATTTCTATCGGACGTGCTTGCGTATTTATACATCCCGCAAAGCAAAACGTATCTGCATGGGTTGTATTGAAAAACACTAGAAACCAGTCACTATATATCCATTTATACATGTGCTTATCCCATTCGTGCAACGTTTTGAGTTATATGTACTAATATTACTGAGTTTATTATTTTTTTTGGAATGTAGTATTATATCTCTGGGTCTAATTGATACACATGTTTAGCGACTTAACCTCAGCAAACCGTACGGTGACCTGTAGTTATGTCATTTGGTTTCTGGTGGAAAGTTGTCTCACTTGCAATTATACCACATCTTCATAATTTTATATGGGATCCGTCTTTGTGATAGACAATTTACATTGAAGCAGTATTATTTATAATCAGGCAATACATTACTGTGAACAACAGCTATAAGTAACCACAACTTTCACAATATGGAGGGCGTTTATAAATGAAGGCAACAGTACTTTACCGATGTTCCAATCTCGTAAATCGAGTGTAAATTATAGACAAATAATGGACACAAACAAAAAAATGAGTGCTCCAAAATGATTGAGACAAGTTGCGTCGATAGTGTAAGCGTCTCCTGCTATGTATGCATCACCCGTCATTCGAATTGACAACCAAGTCAAAATATCATAATCGGAAATAGGACAAAATTTGTAATATAACATAAATGGCAACTTAACTGGCACCTACAAATATAAGACCGCGAAAACCTGTCGCTGTGCTAGTTCGAGATGCAACTTCTATCGTTCATTACAAAATGCATTTTTACCGTTTATATGACATTTTTAGAGAGACAATTATTCTCTTTTGTAGCAAAGCTGCAACTACCTTTCGATATTACTCATACTTCTGTTGATTGATTTCTGTTTGCTTAACATCAAGTGGCTTATATTTCATGCATATTTAGGTCAGAAACACGCGTACGGCAGTAATTAATCAATCCATGAGGTATGTTCTGCAAAGTGATCATCTGCGATAACAGATTGAAGGTGCAATGGAAAATGAGGGGAAGGGGAAGAAATTTTGCCTTTCAACATGTTACCTACATTTTCCAAAAAGAGTTATTACAAGAGTTCTTTATCGTGCCAAGACTGTGACATTCTCCCTTCTTTTGGGATTTAACGGCGTTCCCATTCTGATTGCAAGATTCATGCAAACTTTGGCATTTAATAAAGTCGTAGACATATAAAGCATTTTCGGAATAATAGTTTGTAAACTTCGACAAAACTTAAGATACTGAGTTTGTATTAAACAATACATCATTGAGAACCTGATATTAAAGTGAATATTGGATAGGGACAGTAATTATGCCGTGCAACAGGCCACATAGGAACCCCTAAAAAGTTGTTGCAAGAGTTCTAAACGTGCAAAGAGCTTGGCACTCTCTTTAATCGAGGCATCAAATTTAACGTCTTCATTCTGACCAAACGTGGATGCGTATTTGTACATCCCGTACAGTATGATTGTCCACTTCAGCGAGGATTTTACTGCCGGCCGGAAAAAGACCAAAGTGACCATATTTCTAATCCCGAGTCACCCTTTGGGTGTGTATTAAAAAATTCAAAACGGCCTTTAAATTTAATAACTGGTTATAAATGTTGATATTTGCACGCATATACATCGTACATGCTGCATTGCAAATAATGTAAATTACTTTTTTATTTCTGTTTTCGAAATTTCAAGTTATACCGTAATTTCAAAAATGGAAGGATAATGATTTAAATGACTTTGCATTAATAAAATAACAGAAAATAGAAAATATCAGCATATGATTGAATGTAGAATTTTGAAGGTAAATATGTCAATGAATTTCATTTTAGACGCAATAAGATAACGGTACCAGTTTTAATACATCGCATCGCATGCGCATTTCGACAATTAACCTCTCTTCTGTGATACTCATGGTCAATATATTTGAAAGTACAAAACCGAATGCAAACGTTAAAGAGCTTGTAAAAGCAACAAGGACAAACAGTAAATCCACACTTCGAAATGAATCCGAGCTATGCAGGGTGTCATTCGGTTTATTGATGACCAAGTCCGATGATCTACAAAAACACAGCATTCATTTCCTATGTTTATGGCGTATTAAATTATAATCCTGGTACCTATTTACAGATTTTCCGAAATAAAAAAAAACTATTTTATTCACATTTTTGAATCTGAAAGTAAAACTTTAAACACAAAACTCTGGTAGTAAGATGATAGCAGTATCATTCCACGTCAAATCAATTATGATACGTCATATAGCTAGAATTAATATAAATTTGAAGATGTCGATTTCAAAGTAGACTGCTCGTAAACTATTTATCACATTTAAAAACATCTTTATTAAATGATTGTTTGATTGTGATATATTATAATAATTTATATCACTTATCGATGTTCAGAAGATATATTGTCTACTACTTTTTCAAATGAAAAAAATCTATGATTTTTTAGAAACATTATTGTTTGCACAAAGAATACGAGCAATGCAAAAATAGTGTTGATTTTAAAATTAGGTAAGCCTTTGATACAGTTATATATAGCTTATTATGCGGTATGGCTTTTGCTCATCATATGGCAAAATCCTAGGTACTTTA